TCGCTCTAACATTCTCTGTCAGTTTTCTCATTCCATTTGGTGTTTGACTGAGTTCTTTATCTCTTCATTTGATGTTTTAGGGTTTCAGGATTGTTGTTTTCTCTGTTCGGCTTAGTTTTTCGGATCTTTGCTGTGGAGGGACGGCGTGGTGCTTCTGCCTAAGCCCCATTTTGCCGGAAGCTCTGGGCATCGTTATATTTGTTTAGCATTTATTTTCTTGTTTATCCAGTGGGTAATATTACTTATGTCAGAATACTTTATGAAAATTTACTATTTAAATATATAACATGTGTAAATTAATTCCTAGGTTCTCCCTACTAGTGAAAGCAGCCAAATGATCACCTTTACATTTGCTAATGGGGGTGTGGCCACCATGCGGACCAGCGGGACAGAACCCAAAATAAAGTACTATGCAGAACTGTGTGCCCCACCTGGAAACAGGTATGTTGTTAATGGCACCTGGCTTGATTTTTATAACCTGAACTTCCAAATTGGTTCTTTTCAAATTGTAAGTGAAATTTTTCACCTTTCCAATATGTAGTTTAATTAGAAATGCTGTTTCAAAACCTGAGCAATATTTGTAAGTGATATTGACAGTTGCTTGAAGCATCCAAAGACAAGACTGCTTGCTTACTTATTTGTAGACAATTCTGCAATTCCTTTATTCTCTCCTAACTTTCTTTATATGGGAATGTTTCCTGACTAATTTCAGTAATAATAATAATACTTCCTTTTTCTAAATATTTATTATTTGAGGCTAGCATGAAAGAGTTCTCCCTTTTTCTCCTGCAATCTTCTGTGTGTCTGATAGAATATATTAAAATCCATTTCATGTGCACTCAACAAATATCTTTGAGTATCTACCATGCACAAGTCTGCTGGACCCCAGGGAGGATAAGAGCCACCCCAGAAAGAGTCTTTGCTGTCAAAGAGCTGATAACCTGGTAGCTTCAGTGCCATGTTTCTGTGACCTTGGCCAAAGGTTTGACTTGGTCTCTTTCTAAAAACCATAACCCTTTGAACATTATCAGCCTTGGTGCATGTAGTTTCCACGTGTAAATGTGATATTGCATACTTGTCTGGCACTCAGTTAACCGGTGCTTCCATATTCAGAATATAGCTGAGAATCAAAAAAAAAGAGATTGTTTTAAGATGAATTAAGTCAACCCTGTCCAGTAGAAATAAAATGTCACGTATGCAATTTGAAATTTTTATTAGCCATAATTTTTAAAATATGAAAAGAAACATATGAAATTAATTTTAATAATATGTTTTATTTAACTTAGTACATCCAGAATTTATCATTACAAATAAAAATTATTAAGATGTTTTATACTCTTTTTTTTTCATACTAATCCTTTTGTATTCGTTCAGTATTTTATACTTCACCATATCTCAATTTCATGCTAATCTGTCATTAGAAATGTTTGCTCTGTATTTAGATTTCATAAAACTTACAGTTGAAAAAGTAGAGTTTGATACCCAAGTTGTTCTAAACATAAAGTTTTCCAGTAACTGAACTAAGTGTCAGTTTTTATATTTTAATTTCAACTAATTAAAACTAAAAATTTAGTTCCTCAGTTGCAGTAGCCACATTTCAAGTGCTCAGTAGCCACATGTGATGGGTGGCTACCGGAGTAGACAGCACAGGTCTAGGTAGTTTTTATCATGTATACAAACCAAAGCTTTGCTCATAGAAGGGTTTTTCCAGTCATATAATCAAATTTGCATTACGTGGGTATAAAGCAGAGAAAAATCTCCAAATATCTTAAATTGGGAAGCCCGTAGCAGATTAAGTGCAGCAAGTTAGAGGGGTGGGGGAAGAATTGTTACAGTTGGATATTCCTTAGGCAGGGAGAAGTGACTGCTGTAGCAGAGAAGAAAATACTTTAAAAAACGAAACGCGGACCCAAAAAGTCAAAAAATACAGCACTTCAGGAGTTTTATCATAAAGGAAATAGCATTGTACATCTTCACAGTGCCTGAGTAGCAGCTTTGGTCCAACAGTCAGTCATGATTATTGTTCCAGATGTCAAGGTGTCTAGTAAAAGTATATTTAAGAAGTCTTGTGACTGTGTAATACATCTTGCTATAAATTCCCGTTCAAAATCTTTTCATGCTTAAAGGGAAAAACTCAACTATTAAGCCACTTGAGTGAACATATAAAACAATTCATTTTCTAAAAGTTCTAGATTACCAAAATTTTATTGTGATGTTGTGCTAGTATCAATATTTCCATGTACATGAAATAATAAGCTATTTGATACTGTATTAAGTATGATTTTCCATAGATATATCTTTGTGATTCTTATTCTCATTTAGAATTTTCATGTTTCTGTGTCTCATTCTTTTAAAAACAAATAGATCTAAGTTCCGCTTAAGGATGTATTTTCTATATATACTTGTCCTTTCCTTTTCATTATCCTGTGAAAATGAATCTCACATTTCAGAAAACTTGCCTTTGTAATAATAATAACACTATTTAATATTTTAAGTATCTGATATTTAAAATTTTTATATGGGTTAATTAGTAGACTTAAATTCAAATATTAATCTATAAATTGCTGAAAATACTTTGGAAATTTGTCCTTTTATTATACTCATTGAAATGTTGCTGCCATTTATTAAATGGAACATTAGGCACTAGGCCAGCCTGTGGGTATGCTGTCAGGGCTCAAAGAAAGCACCACCATGCCTAATGGTATAACAGCAGTATAGCTGTGGCTAAGGTGTCCTTGTTTTCTGATAACGTTAAATATTGTTACTCTATTTGATACCATGGATTTAATTTGTTCCTAGAATTCCATGACCTGCTAATCTTTTAGAATAGAAAAGCCTTTGTAATTATTCTGCTTCTAAAAGATTTTTTTGTTGGTGGAAATGTCTGGTTTTCTCCAACTTTTTATTTGGAAAAGTTTAAAACCTATAGAAATGCTGATATAATATCTATATGCTCTTATACAATGTCCGTATACTCTTATGTAATATCCATATACTCTTCACCTAGACCAGGGGTTGGCCAAGTTTTTCTGTAAAGAACCACATGGTGAATATTTTAGGGTTTGCAGGCCATGTAGTCTCTGTCACAACCACTCCGTTCTGTAGTTGAAGCATGAAAGTAGCCATATACATAAAGGTATGGCTGTGTTCCAATAAAACTTTATTTATAAAAGCAAGTTACAAACCATAGTTTGCTAACCTGACCTAGACTCATTGTGTAGTATTTTCTCTCTCACTGTATATATTATGTATTTATTCATTTTTGTTGGTTTTCTTTTCCCCTGAACCATTGAAAGTCTCAGACCTCATGATACTTCACTCCTAAATACTTCAATATGCATCTGTTAACAACAAGCTATAAGGAAAGGCACGCTGGAACTCTTGGGCATGAGCTGAAGCTGCATCCATAGGTGGAATTCCTTCTTCAGGGAAACTTCAGTCATGTTCTTAAGGCTTTTCAACTAATAGAATCAGGCCCACCCAGATTATCTAGGATAGCCTACTTTACCTAAAGTCAACTGATAAGACTTTAATCACATCCACAAAATACCTTCACAGCAACCCCTAGATTAGTATCCGATTGGATAACTGAGGACTATACCAAAACCAAACCCAAACCTGTTGCCGTTAAGTCGATTCCGACTCATAGCAACCCTATTGGACAGAGTAGAACTGCCCCATAGGGTTTCCAAGGAACAGCTGGTGGATTCAAACTGCCAACTCTTTGGTTAGCAGCAGAGCTCTTAACCACTTTGCCACCAGGGCTCCAAATAAGGACTATAAAACCCACTGCCATCGTGTGGATTCCGACTTGTAGACTCTGTAGGACAGAGTAGAGCTACCCTATAGGGTTTCCAAGGAGCAGCTGGTAGATTTGAACTGCTTGCCTTTTGGTTAGCAGCCAAACGCTTAACCACCACACCGCCAGGGCTCCAACTAAGGACTACAGCCTAGTCAAATTGACATATAAATTCAGACTTACCCAAAAGTCCCCAAAATAATGGGTTTTCTCCCAGTCAAGAATCAAATCTAGAACCCTGCACTGCATCTAGTTCTCCTTTAGCTTGACGGTTTTTCATGATGGTTAGAGAAAGGTAAGTGCCTAGTTCTGTGGGTTTTGGCAAATGCATAATGTCACATATCGACTGTTACAGTATCACACAGAAGAGTTACATTGCCCTTAAAGTACCCTGTGTGCTCCACCTTTTCACCACCCTCCTTCCCCTGAACTTCTGGCAACCACTGATCTTTTCACTGTCTCTATAATAACAATAGTTACGCCTTTTCTAGAATGTCATATAGTTGGAAGCATACAGCATATAGCCTTTTCAGACTGACCTCTTTCACTTAGCAATATGCATTTATGGCTCCTCCATGTAGCTTGATAGCTCAGTTCTTTTTATCACTGAATAATAGTCTGTTATGTGGATGTACCACAATTTATCCATTCATCTATTGAAGGACATCTTAGTTGCTTAGGGGTGTGTGTGTGTGTGTGTGTGTGTATATATATATATAATTAGCATATGTGCCTTCCTGAGAACTGTTGGTTTTTCAAAGTGTATTTATGGAGAAGGAAAAAAAAGACTTGTGTAATTTATATGTATTTATGAAACATGATTGTTTTATATGTTGCCAGTGGGGCTAAAAATAATTATAAATGACACTACATTTTTTGAGAACTTTGGCCCAGGTTCTGTGCTAACTGCAGTATATAATTTCTCTTAGTCTACATTACAGCTCTCTTGAGAAGATAATTTTACAAATGAGGAATCTGGGACTTAGACTACATCACTTGTCCAATGGCACACAGCTAGTAAATAGTAGAACCACATTCAGGGGACATCTAGGTCAGTTGGCATAACAAACCTTATTAGGAAAATATTCTGCATCCTACTTTGGTGAGTGGCGTCTGAGGTCTTAAAAGCTTGAAAGTGGCCATCTAAGATGCATCAATTGATCCCAACCACCTGGAGTAAAGGAGAATGAAGAACACCAAAGACACAAGGAAAGTATTAGCCCAGGAGACAGAAAGGGCCACATAAACCAGAGACTTCATTAGCCTGAGACCAGAAGAACTAGATGGTGCCCAGCTACCACCAATGACTGCTCTGACAGGGAACACAACAGAG